TAGGCCGGTTCGTTTTTGCCATCTGGAGCCAGGCAAGCAAGGATTCGATACGAGGCTTGCTCTATCACCATTGGAAGGCTAGGCTCCGGCTGAAACACCTGGCTCCTCATGAGACTACTGTAGAAGCAGGCTCCACTCTGATCATAGTCCCTTGTGAGAAACCCAAGGCCCATAACTTTTTCTAGGGGGACAAGACATTGAATGAGATCCAAGTGGACGCTTCTTGAGTAGCTGCTTCAAGTTACGCCGCTACGCGTAGTACAGTTTAGGCTTTCTTGGACAAGTGTGAGTGAGGACTGTGGTCTTAGCCAGCAGCCCAACACCATGGAGCCCAGCACCCAGAGACAGCGTTGTAGGAACAAGTTGGTCTTGCCAGAAAGAGGAGTGTCCCCTGGTCTGAGCTGACAAAACATTTTTCCACGAGCACTTTATTATGTCTGTCATAGTCTGTCCTTTTGGAGCAATGGGACTTGAGGCTCGAAGCACGTTTTTCAGTGCACCGCAAGCATCCGGCCAGACATACATACAGGGAAAGGCACTGTAGACTACAAAGCGCAAGTGACCAAACAGAAACAAACCATTTGCGGCTGGTGTCGCCATGGCAAGTCTACTCGTGGCGAGTCTACTCATGGCAGCAGAAAGCTGCAGTCCTGCCGGAGGGTGGGAAAGAACGTCGGCGGAAGTACAATGGGCTGCTGCACAGATGGTGATCCAAGGATTTTCGGACGGCCAAAGAACTTGCGGAGCAGGTTATTCATATAACGACTACAACTCACAGGACGAGGAGAGCTGCTGCTTTTGCAGGTCGACTGCCTTGGTCCCAAGTGTAATCAATTGTACGTGGTTTAGTTCCAAGATTAGTCAGGCGCGCTTCAACACAGCACTGTTTTGGGCTTTAGATTGTGAAGGGATCAGCAAAATCGGCACACTGCCTGCTGTTAACTGCCAAATACAGTAAATCCCAAACAAGCCACACAACAAGCTACGAAAGTCTTTGTTGAAGTGGAGCACGCATGGTAGCAAGCGAAGCCTACTCAAGTCAACTCTGGCAAACCAAATGCAAGCCGCAAGCCATTTCGGAAAGCAATTGCCATCTGGAGGCCAACAACCAGGATTCCCCTGAAACCAAGCCTGTCATGACATTGCTCATTTTCACAGGTCTTTGAGGCCTCTACACCAATAGTGTGGTACAGTTTGCAGGTATCCTGCTACTGTCATGTCAGGAAGTGGCATTCCATCACTTCACGCATTTCTGGGGCCCCTCTTGAAAGCAAAATCAATTCCCCTCATGCCTCCTTCGGCCCCCCTCCATGTCAGAATCATAATCAGTGATACTGACACACTATCCATTTCGCCTCTTTGTATTTGGAGGAGATTTTCAATCAGTCCGCTTGCGGCGATGACGAACCCTTATCTTTCGTGATTCAACATGGATTCAAGCATGTGTTTACTTTTTGTTTTTTTGTTTGGTATCCTCTATATGATATCATGATATCAGCAAACTTATCGAGTGGTGATCTAGAGATCATTCCCATTTAGCTTTATTTTTTTTTTACGTTTTCTTTTGTTTTGTTTGGTCTTGAGAAGCCAGTTTCAGGATTCGGGTTTCAGCTTTCGGTCTTTGTTTTGGGATGTGCGGCTCTACCGACCTTAAATCTTGGAGACTTTGTACCCCTTTGCATCCATTCTCCTTGCCAACATATGGGTGATGTCTGATAATTACCTATCTATTTTTCTGTCCGGAAGAGAGAGAGAGAGAGAGAGAGACACAGACGCAGACGCAGACACAGACACAGACACAGACAGGCAGACAGACAGACGGACAGCCAGCCAGGCACGCAGGCAGACAGGCAGACAGACAGACAGACAGATGTGAAATACCAAGTCAACTCAGAAGTTGGTCTTGTGCCCTTTACCGCATCATATTCACCTCGTACTGGCTTCATTTGGCTCAAGAATTGACCTGTTTTCAGTTTGATTTGGCTTGACTTTGGCTTGCTTGTTTGGTTTGGCTCAACTGGCTTGCTTTCGGCTTGGCTTGGTTTTGGCTCGGCTGGCTGGTTTTCGTTTGCTTTCGTTCAGCTGTCCTTCCACCTTACCCTCTCTCTTGTTGAAAGACTCACAGGTTCACTTTGATTTTGGCCAACGAAGGTCTTAGTTCGAAATCTTACCATCCTGAAGGGCTCTGCAAACTGCACGGAAGCTTTGATTGGAGGAGACTCGGAGTGATGAAAGGTTCTTGAGTTGATTCATGTTGATTACAGTATGGGGGTTGTGACGTTGTTGAACTCTTCGATTTTTTCTTGCCTCGTTCGCATCGTCCAGTCCTTTTTCTCGGAGGATTCCGAAGTTCTGCAGCATGTGGAGTGGATCCTCCAGCTGCTGGCACTGCTGGGACTTACTTTCTATGCCAGGCTGAAGATGCTGGCGGACTCTGTAAAGGAGTTCTGAACACGAACGGTACCTTGGCTTTGCTTTGGAACCTCATCTAGCTAGGCTGTGCAAACAACTCTTCACCACCCAATACAGCTATGTTACCGCAGACCCATGCGTGCTCCTTGGGAGAGTACCCCCGTGATTCCTAGCAGCCTGCTTTCTTTCTGAAACTCCCAAGGCAACCGTGAGGAGGGAGGCTTTTGATAGTAAACGGTAAACCACACCAAAACTGCTTGTTGGTTTTGCTCAAGCACTATCCATCCTCCCAAAAGACATGGAAGGCAACATCCATTTGGGATTTGAGACGGGGGCTGTGAGTGATCCTGGCTATGACTGTTCTGCCGGTAGCACTTGCACAGATGTCGCTCTGTGTTCCATCGGCAACACCGGAGCATCAACCCACGCTGCACAATGGACCTTGGTGCTGGCGTTGTCCCGAATCTTTTTCTGGCTTTCCTCACAGAATGATTTGTTTTAATTTTCGAGTCACAATCTAGTCTGTGCACCACGACACTCTAGAGCTTGAAAACAGGCTCAATTGCGATTCTATAAATTGGCGAGCAGCATCATTCCACATAAGAGCTACTCTTGTTTTGGTGTATTGGAATCGCTGTTTAGCGGGAACTTTCCCTGCGCAATGTCCCTGCCGTGTTTTGACGGTTTGTACAGTGAACCATTGCAAGCAGAGTAAAGCCTGGATCGGTAGTTTGGAGTCGCTGTTTGTTGGTTGGAGCACGCACGGTACAAGATTGGTGCATGTCAATCCGCTACCAAGCTGCGCCCTTTCTTGGATTCGGAGACGCGGACAGATTCTGCAAGTCTGGCTCCATTTGACCAGTGAGTTGACAACTCTTTCGGCTCCTGCCCAGTAATGGCGTGCACTTCTCTGCTGGTGCTTTGGAGGGCATGAGAGAACGCATCCTGTCTGGGTCCAAGCATAGTGGCCGATTGACCTTTGCATGATTTCTGAGTGATGCTTGACCTTCTTGGGGTGTCTTCAACAATTTGAAGAGCACTGGATAGCACTGGTATTTTTCGGAGAACCTGAGTTCTTGGACACAATCTCAGGGTTGTTGAATGCTGTTGAAAGGGACGAGGAGCCAAGGAGGCCTGTTTCTGTGAACTTGCCTTTTTGAGGTGGGCCAACAGCTCCCTAGAGGAGGATGCCTTGGGGCGCTTACTCCTATCCAGCGGCGCCATTGCCTTGGTGCTTGTAGCATTGCGCAGGTAGATCCCTGGGCAAATGGTTCAAGGCAAAATGTGCCCAGGGATCAGCTGTTTCCTTTATGTCGTGCATAGCCTGCAACTGTTTCAGTTGTTGATGATAGCCGCTAGCCTGCATGCGACCAGCAACTGTTTCCTCGATTTCAGCCCCAGGTCCCGCAGAAGTTCCTCGATGAATGGATGGACAATCCGGACGTAGATGGATGGTTTGTAGGCGTGCATTTGTTGAACTGCACTTGAATATCTTAAGTGGTTTTCTATTTTGCCACAGCCTGTTCGAGTTGCATTCTGATTTGGTCCAGGCACCAAGCGCATGTCTGGACCTTTGTTTGCCTGCACGGAGGCAGTGCACCCGACTAGATGGAGAGATGGTCTGACGGTCCGAGGAGCCTTAGATTCATTCATCAGACCAGATGTGGCCCGAAGCCCCCCCGCCTCTCCCGTCGCCTCTCCTCCGCCCCCCAACAGCCAAGCGAAGCGCCCCGAAGCGAAGCGCCTCTCCTCGTTCGCCCGAGTAGAGGCTTGTGATACAGTCACCTTCAGAGACTCTGCGATTCGCTTCCTTCGGGACAAGGCGACGGGACTATGTCCGGAGTGACGACCGACTCGCCCATGTGCGGAGTAGTAAGTGAGAGAGCCACAAGGAGACACAATGTATATATAAATATATACAACATATATATTATGACTTAACATTATATAACTAGACAACATCATATATATATATATGTCAATAATTGTACAACCATTTCTCAAATTATATACATACAATTACATACATTCTTAGGGGTGCAAGGGCACCATGTCCGCCTGTCGTGCTCGTCTCATTCTGTGCGCCAGGGTGAGTGTTTGCATTGCAGTACCTTAACAGCAAGGTGAGGAGATGAATTGGTGCCGCAGTGCAGATATGTTCCCCATGAGCCCATGACATGAGGTCCCCTGCATCACTGCATGAGCTAGTTGTATACCATTTTGAGCATCAGCACTACTCAAGCGAATTTGGTTCTATCATGTTCTATCCAGGAACCAGCACTTGAGACGGAACCAGAAGAAACTCGTGATTTATTTGGAAGCAAAGGGGGAAGTTATTGCGCTTTTGGAAGCAGACGCGGAAAGGCATCTCGATATGTCCACTTGCGCTCGAACCACCCTTTCTTCTCAAGCTTCTCAGAACATGGAATGGGAATTCATGAGAATTTAGGCCCAGCCGTACTCTCAATGTACTGCAACACTCCGTACTGAAATCGGCCTCCACAGACATTGTCGCTCCAATAGACCAAGGTATTTCACCCTCATCGCAAGCCAATCACTGCAGAACAATCTACAAATGTTCAAAGGCTGCCGACCAAAAAGTGTGTTGTGCTGTGCCACACACTTCCGTGTGAGTCGCCATGAATGTCCTGCCACGCCGTGTGCTGGGTGCATACTTTGTGGCAGAAGGAACAGGTGAGGGCGCAGAAGCAGCAAAGAATGTCAAGACTTAGGAATCGTTGGATAGGTTATTCAAGATCACACAAAGTGTCTTCACAGAAGCAAGAGTCCAACTGTCTAAACATGTGAAGAAGGTCACACGGCAATCTACTTCTTAGACCCGCAATTGATCTACATTCATGTATACTATGTTTTGGAGCGCCGTTTGGGCTTGGCCTGTCAGGGCAACGAGCAAGGGAGTGTGTCTTTGAGCGCCTTCAATACAGCCTTTGGCATTGATAGTCAGAAGCAGCAGCTTTTACAGGGTCATCAGGCACCTCGTTTTGTCAACGAACCTTGGCACGGCGAGCCAACGGCCTTTGTCAGGCTTTGCTCATCATTGGTACGTCAAACGCATCTTGGACATATCAGAGACCGAGAGACTAGTGATTCATTGTTTTGTGCGTTTCTGGCTTGTCTACGGTCTACGCAGGTTTACATACATGCTATCGCAACTACAGCCCTGAGATGCCCCACAATTTCTGGCAGTCTTAGATTGCAGATCTGAAGGTCCTTAAGTCACGCAGCTGGATCTGAATGGAGTGACAGATTTGGGCCACTGTTTGACCGTATTCGTTTAAGACCTTGCTTCCCCTGGCTGAGGCCGTGCCAAGAAAGCGCCCCCTCCAGAGTTGCCACCAGTGGATGAGGATCAGACTGCATGATCAGATAATGCTTTTTCCCATAGCTTTCAGCTTTCATTGCTTGGTTGAAGCCTGCACCGAGCTTGAGCTTCCTGAAGGAACAGCTTCTGTGATTTGTCAGGTGTGTTTGTGTGCACCATTCTACCAATCCTGCACCATGCGCGCTTTGCGGCTATCCAATGTTTGTGAAAACGACTGTATGAGTAATGGCAGAATTCATGGAAGACTGCAGCTAATGCAATCAGTGCTGAATGCAGTCCGAAACAGAGTTGGTGGCAGAATGAGAATGAGATTGGTCGGCCCGAAGAAAGATCTTTTTGATCTACAGTACTATGAAATGACCCGGAAAATAGAACATTGAGAAACAATATATATATATATACCAGTATGTATATATATATATATACCAGTATGTATATATATATACACACACGGTATTTTGAGACATGACATGAACAAGTCATTGCTTACTTGTGAGTTTGCCGTGCCTTCAATGCCTCGCACAGCATGCTTCCTCCTATATGCCAACCCTTTACCAGGAGTATGGGCAAAACTTCATGAATCTTGCACGTTGCCAGGGACAAGGTGCCACATTATGTCTTCAATTGAAAGTGAGATTTCTTAATGCACCGTAAGAAGCTACTAGTAACAAGGGCACTACTAGTACAGTAGCTAGAAGCGACTAGTAGCAAGGTGCCTTACTAGTAGAAATGGACAGCGACCGAGCCCATGAGGCTCTGACCCCTTGGCTTGTGCACGCTTTGTCCGTCATGCCTTCTTCGGTGCACCTCCCGAAGCCCTTCCAAGAGAGGTGCCGAGACTGGCAAAAGGAGGTGTTGGTGAAGGAGACTTCATGGCCGACATTTGGGGGGGCTGCCAAAAGGAGGTTTTGATGTGATGGCAGTAGCAGGTGATAGTAGCAGGTAACAGACTCATGAAGGATGTATCCCCATTTCCAACACATCAAATCAGTGACTGCCCAGCTAAGGCAGTACACACGTGGTTGCAAAGCCACCTGGGTGCAGCCTCTGATGATGCGGTGGGGCTTGTCACTCATGTGAATACGACTGCTTCTCCTGCTCTTGTTGCCCTTGTTGCACTGATAGTTTGATTCGTGCAAACATTGGAAGGTTGTCTAGAACAGTTTGTGGTCCTTGAAGGGCGGCGGGGACTCACTTTGTTTCAGACAGCAACATGCGTTGACGGAGTGTGTACAGAAGGATTTTGCCCACCAACAGTACCATGCCCTTTAGATAGTGACATAGTGCCCAAGTTAATGCCTCTGAAGTCTTTCCCATGAGGATCTCCCCTTTATGAGCTGCACTGTGAAACCCATCTTGAAATGTGGCAAGGACGCTATTAGGTGGAGGCCATCGCAAGTAGGTTGGAGGCCATCGCTACTAGTAACAAGAAGCTACTAGTATCTGAGACAGGAATTGAAATTGAATCATGCTGAGCACTTCAATCTCTTTGGTCTTTTCCTTGTCACATTCAATGCGCCAGCTCACCGCCTTGGAAGCCACGCTGGGGCATTTCTCGCCAACCAGAAGAGGTAGGGGACATAGAGGGGATAGCGATGGCCTCCTACCTAGTAGCGATGGCCTCCGCCTAATAGCGTCAGTTGAAACATAAACATGGAGGGGAGCATTTGTTATCGTTAGGAGAGATGTGGAGGACAAGTGCGTTCGAGTACACTTCGTGAGACCCGCTTCTTCGGCAGCGGTGTTCAACAAATTTCTTGTCCAAGCAAAACAGTGGTGTAGATCAACCCGAACATCTCAGACTTTTTTGCTTTAGACTTTAGAAACCCTCAGAACATCTCAGAACAGTTTCAAGGCTCATGGCTCCATCGGTCCGTCCACCTCCACTCTCCACGGTGACTCAGGCAGCACCTCCTTCTTCGTCTATGGCCAAGGAGCCGTCTCTTGGTACACGTCCGGAGGGGTGAAGGGGTCACTCCGTCTACAGCTTCTTGTTACTACAAGTAAGGCACCTGTTACTACTAGCGTGGCACTTGTTACTACTAGCTTCATGCGTAGAATAAAGAATTCTTCATTTCTTAAAGACGGCACGAAGAGATTGTTTGGGGTTTGCCAAGTCTGACGGGTGTTTTTCGTTTGGCTCAGGTCGAGGCTTGGTACAAGCCATTGCTGTTGCGATCATTTATGGAGGTGCCAGCCGTGTACGGTGAACATGCTCATGTTTCCCGAGACTTTGGATAGTCGGAGTGCGGCAGTGTGGGAGGAATACTTGTTTGCAGGATTTCCCTCCACAGCACTGAGTGTACACAGGCTAGGCAGCAGGCTTCACGTGTTGGATTTCACTAGCCCTTGTTGCGACTGATGAGAATTCTTGGACGGACCAATAATTATTGGCTGAAACTGAAGTGTAGTTCCTCCCAAAGACTCTGGAAAGTAAGAGTCACATGAATCTCCCGAAGACTATTCTGCTCCAGACTTGGACATACTGCGAAGTGTGTCACGGGCGTCTGCGAGGGTGTCATTTTTGCCATCAACAACTGAAGGTGCACAGGCCGTTTGACCCGTCCTGGTGCCGCGTTTCGGGGAGGCACAGCGCTTCTTGGCGCGCCGCCGCTTGAAGCAGCAGGGCTTTCGAGAGACCCGGGATCCAACCATCCCTGAGCTCAGTCACTTGGTGTCAGAACCGGCTTGGCAGCGCCAGTCGAAAGACCACTCACTCATGGTACTAAACCACTGCTCTTCGGTGCTGACGCTATTGGTGCTGGCAGGGTGATTAAGGTGCTTCTCCTTTGGAGAATTTCTTCTGAACACAACACTTGAAAGATAGGGGTTGCAATTCGCGCCATTCTATTGACGAGAATAGATGCCCAATCGTCCCGCAAGTCAAAAACGACAAACATACAAATGCCACTGGTTGAGCTACACCAAGACTCTGCATTCTGATCATTCTCTTCCTTAGTGTTGTGACACTACACTGAACATGGCTCGCTCTCTAGTATTTATTCGCTATGTTTTCTCCCTCAAGTCTGTTGAATGCCCATATTTGTTTCTCGTCTCATACGTTGGTAGGATTTGTGCGAGACGGTCTTCCATAAGTTCACCGTGAATGGTCTCGGTCGGCCTCGCTAGACGCTTTGGGTCGACGTCAGGCTATTGGGAGCGTTGCGAGGGCGAGACTGACGAGCCGCCATTGCTCGTACTGCATGGATATGGGCGAGGCTAGACTCTGAGACAGTGATTGACACGTACAACATCTCATGCCAAGCACATATTTTGTCATGCCCACCCATGCACTGGGATTCTTGCCTTTTTGAGGGTAGATGAAGGTAGTGCAGTTCTGTGCTGTGCAGTTCACTCACACTTCAAGGACTTGCTTCGCCACTCTTCGACGGGATGCTGCCTGCTTTGGGTCGCAGGAAGCGAGTGCTGTCGACGACTACGGCCCTGCGTGGTACCTGGGGAAGTTGGTGACGACTACGGTCCAGATGGGATACGACATGCCCTTGTTCCTTGTTGGCGATGCCGTTTGTTACTATTTAAGGGCTGCCGCCCCTGCCGCCGACCCCGGGACTCAACTGCAGCTTGCGCTCGCCAAAAAGCTATGGTTCAGGTGACTACGACAGAAATTCCGAGACCGGTTCAAGCCTCCCATGGTCGCACTTTGGGTGCCAAACGCTGCCTCTGAAAAAAAGAAGTTTCTTTCCATTTGTCTCGGTCATCTTGGCCCCGAACACCTGGTCCCGCCACAGCTTTTCCCAATCTAATTCTGCTCCAAAA